TTCCGTGAGAAAATTGATAATAAAGCAGTAAAAACATGCAACTTTATGAATTTTCGGAGATGGGTTAATTTTTGCTGGCCTGCGGGAGTGACGAGGGAGGGAGGGCAGGTAAAGGGTCCTGCCATACAGACCTGACCCCTGTCGGGTAGAAAATCACAATTCATCGGGAAGAAAAATTTATTCTATATATTCTATAAATTGGATTGATCATTTGTTTTTATTAGCTATACACCTTTCAAAGCACGAAATTGTCTTGCAGCCTTGGACATGAACTTAGGTAGAGCCAGGGAGTTGTTATAACAACTCCCTGGTAGAGCCCAGCGATGTAATGCAGAGGACAACCCAATGTAAGCGTCACTTATTTATGGTTGAGTACTACCCCATATAATTTTCTCTTGTTAATCAAATATCAACAGAAATAAAACCTGATTCTTTCAATTTGTAGTTCAATGTTTTTTCAGATCAATACTTCCCACCTAATTGACAAAAGATGTACAAAATATAATGGTGGATAAATTAAACATTAGTTTACCAAATTTCTTTATTACATGCAATGTCATGAATATGAATTGTTGTTTTTCTTCATAAGGTAGCACAAGCGCTTCAACAAAAACTCAGATAACTGGTCTGCAGAGGTGTTAGTAGCCAAATGTTGATTAGAGAGATACAGGTTATGATTATTATTGATAGCGATATCATCTACAGGAAAAATGAAATGAAAGCAAATGATCCCCGCTGAATGAAACAAACCATTGCAAAGGTACACCCACCACCTTTGGAGGATTTGGTAAATTTTGAGTCCAGATTTTCAGAACAATGACTGTAAACAAGGCCTAAAATGAATTGTTTTTGTTTAATACTGTATAGCCGGCATGTGCTGCATATGTTTATGGGGAAATAAATTCTGATTTTGAAAAATAGTGTTACAATGATCCCCGCTGAATGAAACAAACCATTGCAAAGGTACACCCACCACCTTTGGAGGATTTGGTAAATTTTGAGTCCAGATTTTCAGAACAATCACTGTAAACAAGGCCTAAAATGAATTGTTTTTGTTTTATACTGTATAGCCGGAATGTGCTGCATATGTTTATGGGGAAATAAATTCCGATTTTGAAAAATAGTGTTACAATATCAGTCCCCAAGTTTTGCTTGTCTAAAGAAGAGGTAAATAATTTGCTAAACAAAAAGGTACTCTTGCAACAGTGGATTATAATGAATGTAAAAATGCTTCTGACTGGTAAAATAACAATGAGGCTGAATACTGTATATGTAATCATCTTCCAGCTGCTACATCAGCCTTGATTTGTATAGTGTAACATCAGGTTCGTCCAGATATCCGACGTACGATAGATAATGCTGCTCTAGATTCAGAAGTGCAATGTTCAAGGATGAAATGTTAATATGAGTAAAGTAGGCTAGGTCTATACAACACACACTACAGCACCTCCGTCAACAGAGAATGTATAATACAAAAGGACATCAACAAAGGAATGTAAAAGCAAAATATTACTGATTGGTTGATGATTTATTCATAAGCAACAGAGGAACTGGCAGTCGTGTCCAGCTCTGAACAAAACTTGAACTAAACTGTTATAAAACTGTTGTAAAAACAGTCAAGAAGTATCACTGTAAAACTATTACTATTGGTTATTAACAATATTATATAATATGCGCCTCACTTTAAATTAGCTGTGGCAAGTGCAAACGCGCACAACTGATACATGACTGGAAGAAGTAGATTTCAAAAGATATGTGCACACACAATACTGGATTATTAAATAATATCAATGTTACACTATTATAGCTTTATTGTACATTAAGATCAAACCCTTAATATGTACCTGTTGGAGGTGGAAATTCATCCCAAATCCTCTAAATGCAAAATGAGGGAATAATCCATCTATCCCCCTAATCAGATACTGGTGCCTCTAATAAGTAAATGGACGGTAGCTGTGATGGCGGTTTGATTATTCAGCTCTTCTGGTTCCAATTCTGCAAGCTGTCGAAAATCCTGCTTCATGGTTCTGGAAAATACCAGCTGCATCTCATCAAAAAACGTACAGTGCCATATTCTTGTAACTACTATGTACTGAACTGTATGTTTATCATATTAAAAGTTCAAAGAATATTATAAAATATGAACTGAAAATATATACTAAATCTTGTCTCTTATTCTGAATTATTACTCCATTAATGCATAAAAAGTGGTAATGAATCCATGTTAGTCTAAACAATATACAAAGAGAATTAAAAGGCAGCACTCCGAGGCTAACTTAGATGTTATTTATTCAACACAAGGCATGTAACAGTACACACATTGTAAATATAGTTATTTAGTTTATAGATGGGATAATGACAGTAAAAATAATTTCCAACATCAATATTCTTTGCCTACACTGCACGCATAATGTAGAGTGCCATGTATTTACAGAATTTGTTTATACTGCATGCATACACACATGTACAGTACAGTATTTACTAAATCAACAACACCTGAAGATGGGCCTACCTACATGATTGGTATGCTATTTTTTTTGTTTTTGTTTTTATGTTCGTCCATCCATCTGCCCGAATAGCAGTACATTTTCAACTTGCTAAAATCTATAAATACGAGTGTTGGCAGGTCACAACCCACAAAAAAAATTCTAAACAACCTTGGCCGAGCTTGCCCAGCAAAGGTACAAAGTAGTAAGCCGAGGCCTAGCCCTACTGTATATATATAGCCTTTGTCACACACACACACACACACATGGGGTATAGGCCTACTTAAGTTGCATCAAAAAAAGACTTGTTATCATCGAGGCTAGTATACCACAAATACCACATAAATGAATTATAGAAGAACATAATCAATGCTTACAACATTAAAATTATTGTCCAGAACTTGATACTATATTCTGAAGGTACTGTATGAAGCGATTACCGGCCACCAGCCAGCCGCCCTATGTTTGTTTGGTTTCTGGACAAAACGGCAAATGACCAAAACGGTAATAGACAGACCAAAATGGCAAAGGAGCGAAAATCAATGCCAAGACTGCAGAGCTACCGGGCTCGGGCAGCAGTTTATAATTTTCTGAATCTTTTTTTTTTTTTTTTTTTTTTTTACACATCCATGATGAAATATTTTGTTATTTTAAAGTGTTATTTATTATTTTTAAATTTTTATTTCTTATTATTATTATTATAAACACAGATCTCCGGTTGGCGGTGATGGTGTAACCCCATGCTTCGGTTTGGGTGCTAGCTTGGTATTTATTGTTTTTTTTTTTCCGGCTTTTTTCTTTGTGTTCTTGACTTCAATATTGTCTAGTGCATAGAGACCTCGTTTATTTGCACTATATAAATCCATATATTATTATTATTATTATTGTTGTTATTAATGTTATTCTTTAAATTGTTTTTTTTTCTTTCGCGCGTTTTTACTTTTATGACAAATTGTTTAGCCTCATTTTGTCCGTATTTTAAAGTTTTAATTATTTAAATATTTACTGCTTTTATATCGTGATTCCTCAATCTTTTTACTGTTGAATTTGTATGTTATACTATTATTATTATTATCATTAATGTTCTTCTTTCATGTTTTTTACTTCTATGACAATTTAGCCACATTTTCATTTATCGTTGTACACTTCTGTGTTTATAATTGGTTTTATGTAGTGCCCCATTGGAATTGGAAGTTTTACTTCTTAAAGAAAACTTTCATAGACTATCCTTGCATCATCTTTTATAATATTTTTTGTCCTGCCTTGTGTGAATTTTATCTGTTTTGTACAATGTTTTGATGATGAGAAATAAACTGAACTGATGATATACTGTACCAAAATAAATATTACATCAGAATGGTCTGTTAATTTTATTTGAGTTTTCCTTTTTACGTTGTTATAGGCCTATTAGTAACAGCAGTTAAAATAAAACCATCAAACCGAGGTAAATACGAGTTAACCGCACCTTAATTAAAGTTCATGAATAAGGTGCGAAATCAAGGTGGGGGGAGGTTTAAAGGTAACGCCTATGGAACTTTACTTTCAATAACCATTTAATTTTAAAAAAAGGCGTTTTAAGCAAACTATTGTTGATTTTATTTAGCCATTTTGACAATTACCATACAGTGTCATTCTGGAATTTTGGTGTATTGCCTTTTTGACTTATTGCCGTTTTGGTCCATTGCCGTTCTGGTCTAAAAGTGTTGCCGTTTTGGTTTTTTGCCGTTTTGGTTTTTTGCCGTTTTGGTTTTTTGCCGTTTTGGTCATTTGCCAGTTTGACTTATTGCCGTTTTGACCTGTTCCCGTTTGTTTACATTTCAGTAGCTTTTAAATGGATCCGATCTAAGCTAGGCCTATCATCGAAGCACAGCATAGCTGAGACAGTCGCTTCGCAGGTACTACATTATTTCTCTTCTTTTTTTTTTTTTATCATCAATCGTAAAACATGTATTTATGACGAAAAAATCACTGGTTTATGAAAATTAAAGTAATGTACAGTAGAACCTCGTTTTTACGTACCCCAGTTATACGAACCCTCTGTTTTACGTACGCCTCGTATGGACGATGACGTCATCAAAAACCCCGAAAATATTCAAAACAAACGGCCCTTTTGAGAGCAACCATAAGTAAAAAGAATATAACAATAAACGAGACAGCCATAATGCAACGTATTTTCATTAAACAGCAACGTTGATTGAGTCTAATACCGGGTTGTTATAATCTAAAACCACGTGAACTGAGTGAGATGAACAACTACCGATGGTGCTCAAAATTATTGCTTTCCTCCTTAGCTTCGTGGGGCAAACCATGGAAGAACTCGTCTGGTCGAATTTTCTACACGAAGCTGAGTAGACATAGTTTCGTACACGAACGCTAATTGGTTGGCTCGCCCAGTGCATAGCACATGGTTGCTGTTTCACGTACACGAACGCTAAGAGATGAAGGGTAAAAGAAAATGAAATTTTGTATTGTTTCTTTGTCTCAACAGGCCCAGACAACACCACGTCTCTGTTGTTTAGAATAGGCATGAAGGGGAATTCCCAAGTTATACCTTTGTCGTATAGGTAATCTTACAATATTTTCATGTTCTTTATTTTAGTTAAGTAAAAGATATAATGTGATGAATTAATACACTAGACACATGGTTTTATTTGAACACTTTATTATGACATCGTAAAGTGATGAATAAGAACACTAAACACATGGCTTTATTCGTAGGCCTAGGACTAGAGGCTAGGTCTAGCCTAGGTATCATCGTTCGTTCGTACATACGTTTATTGAGCGTTACGTACGTATTAGGTCAAAGGTTACCACAAATTTAACCCAACCTCTATTTTACGAATCCCCCGATTTACGTACGCCCTCTGGTCCCGTACCGTACGTAAAATCGAGGTTCTACTGATATATGCATATTTTCACAAAAAATGTCATTTTTGGGGAAATTTGTAGACACTGGGTCTTTTAATTCTTTCTTTCTTTTAATGTTCATCAAACAATCTTAATATTTTAAGCTTAAACGTGGATAAACTATCATAAAAAATATCAATCTCATCTTAACAACTTAAATTATTACTGTATATGTAACAGATAATCTTTGAAATTAACCTCTCTTTGTTACGTCAACCTGGCCAAAAAGTATTGTTTTATAATGCAAATATAAAGGAAATAATCATTTAAGGATATAATAATATTAGCAATGTTGTTAAAAGAAATAGGCAGTGGCTATTGCTACACAAATCTTAAACCAATTCAGCTAACATGTTAGAATATGAAATATTTAAAAAAAAAACAAAAAAAAAAACCAGAAAATTGATATACACAAGAAGCAAAAAGAAAGTTTTAAATTAAATGAAATTTTTGAAGGAATGCAAATTTTAAGAATTTAATGAATTACATGTATCTGGGAAAAGCGGTATTTGAATGTTTCTTCCCAAACTTGTTGCCATTGTCAAGTGGGCTATTGCATCATTGATGCTCTCGTTTTTGGTCAGTATCTCTTTACATTTGGATGTTTTATTATTTATTACTGTACTGTATTTATTTATTCTGTTTTACTCCAAGATAGAGATTGCAGAATAGTATAATACATACTCCAAGTATCGAAATGCACGCCATCGTGTCGGGATTCAATATTTCGACATTAATTATGTCATCATCAGGAATGAGATATAGATTGTAGGTTGTAAAGGAAAACACCTATTCCCAGTGGCAGATTCAAGGGGATGCACTTCACCCCTTTATTTTTAAAAAATTATACAAAAAAATGGAGAAAAAAGAAAATTATATTCAAATTAAGTCTGAGATTTCTATTTCCGACCATCTAAAGGTGCGATAATCAATTTTTCCTACCTCAGCCCCAACCAAGGTGGGGCTGAGGTGGGTGGACCCTTCATCTGTGAAAGTTTCTCCCTGGGACTCCTCTATTTTGAATTCCTGGATCCGCCACTGATTCCCTTCAGGATTCACCTACCATTTACATATTCTTAAAAAATTTATATTATTTTGTTCTTAACAATGATGATGAAAATAATACAATGCTTTAATTGTGGAAAAATAACATTAATTTACTAAGTATTAATTCTCTGAAAACAAAGTAATAAAGTGAATATGAAATTCTTTGGCCCACAGAAAGTACAAGGATAACATACATAGCAACACCATGGAAGTGGAAGAGATGAAGGGTAAAAGAAAATGAAATTTTGTATTGTTTCTTTCTATGAAAAAGTTTGTTTATTGTTCTGCCTGTCTGTGTTGTGTGTGTGGATTAGATTAGAACACTATCTGATCAGAATTAAAAATTGGTTTAAGACTTAACATTAGCCACTGCCAAAAAAAACAATAGTGAGCAAAAAGTGCCAAGAAGGGGATGGCGACAAACAAAATATCTGAGTGCTCGGGGCACTAAGATGAAACAGGGTTTTATTTAAAATGTCATTAAATATGAGGTAGTGCCTTTTGATCTAAAGTGGTCCGCCGGTCCTATATATTGAGTTTCCCCTGTAACTACATGTAGAATTGTTATCAAAATTACACTACCCTGTTATTTATTTATTTAATTATTTATTTATTTTTTTCTTTTTATTTTATATTATTCATTCAATATTCAGGTAATGCTATCAGATTAGTAATGAAACCATTTAATTTATGGAGGGTCATATTTGACATATAAGATTTAACACGAAATGGAGCCATTTTGACCCTAAGTATGGAGTACTGACAGCATTGTAAAAACATATATAAGCATATAGGTATATATATATATATACATTCAGCACTTACTGTATATGACGCAAATTTTCGGTCCGTCTGGACCCTCTTCAGGCGTAGTCTGATCGTCGTCAGATGACGATCGAACTACCTCAGACGATGATCGAACTACGCCTGAAGAGGGTCCAGACGGACCGAAAATTTGCGTCGTATACAGTAAGTGCTGAATGTATATATATATATATATATACCTATATATGTTTTTATACTGCTGTTAGTACTCCATACTTAGGGTCGAAATAGCTCCATTTCGTGTTAAATCTTATACATTCAATATTCATTTTTTTGTACTGAATTTATTAAATATTATTACAAGAGACTGGTCATAAGCCTAAAAGCCATGCTTTATTTATGACCTTTTTTATGTTATTTATTAGAGAAATTATTTATTCACAAATCTCTACATTGATATTTATTCTAATTTAGGATTTCCATTGAAATCCATGATTTAGATTGAATATTGATATTAATTTTCTACCTGATACATTTATTATTTATTTAATTATTTATTGTTTTCATTTTATTTTATATTATTGATTCAATATTATTTTTTTGTTATTTATCCATATTCATATCTTAATGAATTTATTAAAAATTATTACATTTACAGACTGGTCATAAGCCTAAAAGCCATGCTTTATTTATGACCCTTTTTATGTTATTAGAGCAATTTTTTATTCACATTGATATTTATTCTAATTTAGGATTTACATTGAATTCCATGATTTAGATTGAATATTGATATTAATTTTCTACCTGATACAAAAATCACAGAAGATGAATTCAGGGGCCTATTGTCAGATGTTTCAAAATGGTATGATGAGCGTGAGGGATCCATCAATATGCTGAAGGTTTTGTACACAGATCATGTGTCTAGGGCTGAGCTGTGTAAAGCATGCAAAACAAGAGACTTACTGGAATTGTTGGTTAGTTCTGGTGATACAGATTCAACGGATATGTCTTTAATATATGATACAATAAATGCAACTAAACAATTTGGCTTGGAAAAGGAGTTAAAAAAACGAATACCATCATTCCCAAATGTAAAGGAAATTAAGATATCAAAATTTAAAATTCACCGACAAAGACTAATAAATCTTGGAAAAAAGCTGGACAAGGATGATATTGAGAAAATCAGTGCCCATTACATTACTCCAGTAAAGAAATATACAGACAGCTGGAGTTTGATTATTGATCTTGAAAAACAAAGGATAATTTGTGCCGACAAGATGGAGTCATTCATCAAACAATTGATGGAATTTGAGCTACACTTGGCTGTTGAAGCACTAAAAGGTAAAACTTTTTTATAATGATTAAACCTTACATTGAGCAGCATACTGTAGCTTAGTTCTGTAAACTAGTGGTATACCCACCGTGTGTGCGCTAAACCGTGAAGATCACTACAGAAATTTGGTCCCTGCTTTATTTCCTTCGCCGCTCTTCCTGTATTTCAGCTAGTTGGCTAAATTACAAGTTACAAGCAAGCACACCATCTTTTTGAAGAGACTTTTTTGGTCCTGAGTGGAATATGATGCACTACATACTCTTCAGAAAATATCATTGTCTCATGGGGTACCATACTGCCCAATTCACCACCAAAGGAACCCTGATTTTGTGGTCTAGTCTTAATGTTTCACATCAAAGTATTGTGTTGATACCATAAAAATGCTTGTGCAAGTCAACATTGTTCATGTTTGGTTTAAATAAAGAGAGCCAAATTCAGAGATCTTTCAAATACCATTTTATGAGGTTTTAAATGTTTATCAAAATCTTATTTCTCCATATTTAAATTTCTTTAATTGTGACAAATTAATATTCTGGTCTGTATATAAATTACACTATCCAACATGATGATTAAGATTAAGCATTAAGAACAGACTTTGATCCTATTATCATTTTTCAATTTAAAAAATAGACAAACCAGAATTGAAAACACCAGAGTTGTCAAGAGATGAAACAAATGTTTTGTTTATACTACACTGTTGGATTGAAAGGTGTTTTGTCATTGAACAATAATTACCGCTGGAGGCCGTTCCACCAATGACACTCATTGGTGATCCGCTTCACGTGCGGATCACCTCTTGTTATTGTCAGAGATCTGGTTTTTTTTTCAGTGGTGATCCGCATCACGAGCGGACTTGATATTTTCTTCACAGTTTGAAAATCCTGGCTACAGTATTTTTCCATATTTCACTTTTAAGCGCTGCGAGATTTCTTTTGCCTGACATACTTGTAATTTTGAAACCGTGATTTATACTAAATAGCATTGCATTGTGGGGTGTGTGGTCAAATCAACAATTTGCTTTTATCCACAAGTGCTGGGGAGTGCATGTCTTAACTGTACTTTCCGTCCATCCCATTGTTTTGTTAAAACTACAGTAGGGTTATTGCTTATACAGGGGTCTCGCACTAGATCAGTGAAATTATTAACTCATCTGCTGTAATTTGCCTTTTGTTCACAGTAGAGCTGCAATTTACAAACGAAAATGATAATCCTGACAAAATTTCAAGATTACCATCTTAGGTTTAACCAAGGACTTTTAACTGTTACCAGGATAGGAATGGAGTGGGTAAAATGGTTCCTCTGCATTTACAGTAGTTGGTATTTTTTTTTCGTTACTGTTAGGATATTTTATGATTTAATTCCATTTCCTGTGTTCATTTTATGTAAAGCGCTTAAGAGTATTGTTTTGTATTAAGCGCTGTGTAAGATTGATATTAGTTTCGTTACTTTATATAGTGTTACCACGTTCTCTGGATATTTTGCTGCCATCTTGATAATTACTATATCCTATCATAGAGAAAGAAAATAAATTTTTTTCTCTATGATCCTCTACTGAATCAATTTCATGATGCTTGAAGTATCCTGGATCTTAGCTTTTCATCACTCAAAACCTTCACAATTTATCAGTTCTTAACAGCTACATTTTTATTCTGATATATAATTGAACACGTTTCACTTTCCACAAATCGCAAAGTTTAAGTTCTTAAATTCGCAAGTATCAGTCTGTGGAGTGATTATATGACTACGATTTACAATAGCTATATATCTCATTTCCTCTTCTTGCTCTATTAGTATCAACCATTCAAAAGTTCTCTTCTCTTCTGCCTTTCTTTTCCTCTTTCCGCTTCCAACTCTGCTTTAATTCACTCTAAAGTCTAAACTTATAAATATCCTCCTGCACACATTCCTGTGGTAGAGCAAGCCTGGTTCCCAGTGCAGTTTCCCTTTACTCAATTACAACTGCCTCACAAACATAATAATATGGGGGTGTAATAGTTATAATGATTAATTTTATACTTAATTTAACTTTTTTTTTTTAATGAGGAGCACAGTATTTCCAATGGGTAGTGTTTCAAGTGGTGGGTAGCACACTTTTCAAATTGGTAGCATACTGTTTCAGATGGATAGTACTCTGTTTCAAATGGGTAGCACAATGTTTTAAATGTATAGCACACAGTATTTCAAATGCGTAGCACATGTTTCAAATGGATAACATTCGATTCCATGCTTCAAAAGTATAGCACAATGTTTCAAATGGGTAGCACATTGTTTTAAATAATCATCATCTGATTTTTGCCTACTGGCAGGTTCACAGCAGTTAATTCCTCCAATTTTCTCTTTTCTCTGCCTTGCCCATTGATGATAAAATCCACTTAAAAATTGATTTATATATGGCTTTATTTATGCAAATTTTGTGGTTAAAATTGTATAGGTCTATCAACGTTAGCTAGCATATTGTACTTTGTTTTTCTGGCCCATATCCCGAGAAACTGAATGAAAAGATCTTTTCGAGTTATACATTGTTTTCTCTTTCAGTACATGGTATATCGTGTCCATGTTGAGCCGAGTGTCGTAATTCCAAAGCATTAGAGTATTTTTGTTTATGTTTTATGTTAAAATTATAGAAAAACTGGAATAAAAGTAAACCCTCATGTCAATACTATTGTCATTTCCTAGCAGTAGCAGGGGAAAAAAAAACATGTGTTTTTTCCAGTCCATATCATTTTTCATATCTTTTTTTTCGCCCGACACTGTCTGTCACCTTCCATGGTTGAATTTGTTTCAAATTGTGTCCAAACATATTGATAATATACGCAGGATTTGTGAGGATTCAGAATGGGATTTGGATATGAAGACCATTTAAAGGGAAACACCCTAAAACATCGCAAGAACAAATTAATTGATCTGAATGAAACTTTCAGATAAGTTTAACCAAGTTACAAGAAAGACGTTACTTAACTTTGGTGACGATCCAGATTGGGAAATGAATTTGAGGGTCATTTAAAATACTAACTTCCCAGACCTAAATATCTAAAAATGTAAGAAAGGTTTGAAATGAAACTTTCAAGAATAGTTTGTCATGTGGTTCAGTGAAGAAGTTGGTGACGATCAGGGTAGGATGGGGACCATTAAAAGGGAAACGTGCCATAGACAAGATATGCCAAAACTCCTCTAGATACATTATACAGTAATTATTAATCTCTCTGGTTGCGGAAAATCACAGATAAAAGATGCTGACTGAGAAAATTGGTGGCGCTTCACTTTGACTATATAATAGTGATGTGAAGATGATAAATTTTACTATATAAAGTGTCATTTCCAGCCATCTAGAGGTAGTATTTCCTCAAATTGTCTCAACACAGCCACAGCCGCGGTGGGGCTGGAATGGTTGTGAAACCATGGGTTTTATAGTATGTAAAGACTACATCAAAGGCAATGTTTTAAGCTTTATTTCCTATGGTATGACACACATATTAATAATATATATGGTTGCCAAAAATCCCTGAAAAATAAAACATGAGAAATTTGTTGGCGATTTATTTTTACTTAACTTAATGGGGATGTGATGTTTATGAATTTTACTAAAAGTGTCCTGGCCATTAAGAGGTACTATTTCCTCAAATGTTTACACCTCTGCTCCAACCACGGTTTGTCTGTGGTGGGTGTAGACTCACGAGTGATCTCCCTACTTCCACTTTTCAAAACAGATCTGCGCCCCTCCCTGGGTATGACATTAAACTCCATCAAGTCGGCACCTGACTTGGACTACGTCTGAGGGGAGGGTGCATAAATTTGGTTTCAGGATGTGATCTGGTTTTTTTGGGGGGGTTTTTTTTCATGATTATGGCTATTTTGGATGAAGAATATTTTGAGCAGGGAAAAGTGGATTCAAGGCCCTCCCCCCACCTAAATTTTGTTAATGTGAAAAAAAAATTATATTTAAATTTATAATTAAATTTAAGTCTGAGAGTAATTTTCGGTCATCTAGAGGTGCCCAAATCATAAATTTTCTTACCTCAGCCCCAACCACGGTGCGGCAGCTGAGATGGGTGGACAGCCTGTGAAAGTCCCTCCCTGGGTCACCTCTCTTTCGAATTCCTGGATCTGCCACTATTGAGTTATTATTATAATTATTGATAGGCTTGGCTAGTTTTCACTTTATCCTGTCATTTCATTTTCATTTCATTAGGCACAAGCACCAAGAATATGCCAATAAGTGAACTTAATCACTATCCTATGTTGCATATCCGCAGGGGGCAGGGAACTGAATGGACCAGTACACCGGGATAACCCCCTACTCTTCTTGAAGAATGTACTGGGTTCCTGCCCCGACTTAACCGCTCGGCCAATCAACTCGCTCAAAACAGTCCTTAAACGTTCTGAGTGCACTACCTTTTAGGAGGCTCCACCCCCTGGAACCCTCGGGGCCCTTGGCTCTTCACTTCAGTTGTTGCAAACTTACATCTATTGGCATTTTCTTTTCATCTCTTGTAGTTTATTACAGAAAAAAAAAACATACATTAACTGTATTTATAATAAGAATACTACAGTAAGTTGAATACATTTATTCTGAGTACTCTTTGCAGTTTGCAGCACCCCCTGGAACCCTCGGGGCCCTTGGCGTCCCCACCTCCTACGTACTTCGAATAACGGCTCCCCCAGCCATTTCAAAATCCTTACTACGTCCCTGACTTGTAATCTGAATGAAACTTTTTTGAACAATGAGGAAAGTAGTAAATTTTGGTGACGATCCAGATTTGTGTGGTAATTTGTAGGTTCTTTGCTAACGTCTCAGACCTACAGTAAGTATCTTTCATTATGGCACTAAGGACATAGTACAATTACAATTGCAGTTGTGGCAGTGCTACTCTTCACTTCAGTTGTTGCAAACTTACATCTATTGGCATTTTCTTTTCATCTCTTGTAGTTTATTACAGAAAAAAAAAACATACATTAACTGTATTTATAATAAGAATACTAAAGTAAGTTGAATACATTTATTCTGAGTACTCTTTGCAGTTTCGTGTTACTGTAACCTTGCAGCATGCAGGATATGTCCTTGGTAAATTGGTTTGTGATAGACAATTGGTAGCCTACAAATATGGTAGTGAATGGGTATATACAAAACAGTCACTGACAACCATGCACTTACACATCCCACTACATACATGATACATGTATTTTTTCTCCAACAGAAAACCCAGGCTAGTGAAAATTAGTATGTGGAACTAAATCCCTTTTCTTCCAATAATAACTTGGGGCCCGTTTATACAACACGCCATTACACGCCTTATCAGCGCGGCAAAGTTAAGTGTGTTGTATAAAACGAGTTTGGATTACAGTACCATCTGGAAAAGAGGCTACTTGAGGAATCGCCAAATTTGGCCGGTTCGTGACCCTGGCGATCCTCAGCCTCAGGTAATTAATCAACTCAACAGGTCACTATTTCGGTAAAATAAAAAGTATCGCTTGATGTATTTAATTATTTTCTTGTATTTTACCTTTTTGTTGGTTTCATTGATCTTGATTTTTTTTTTTTTAGTACTGTAGGCCTACTGTAATTTTATTTTGGATTTTGTATATTTCTGTGATAGATCTTACATTTTAGGCCTTTTTTTGCTAATTGTGCGGCTTAAGTGCCACTGATATAAAAGTGTACATCCGAATGAATTAATATTATTATGGATTATAATATTTTCTTTGTAATAATATTGCTCAGTAACTAACACAAACAAATCAAGCACATATTATTCATTGTCTTGTCGCTCCGCAAGCCTATGGCCTTCCCCCTCCATTCGTCTGTCCGACTAGCCTATCATCAGACAGAAACAGTAAAAAGACTGTCGTCTCACATGATACTCAATCGTTAGCAATGGTAAATACAATAATTAGTGAAGTAACAACAAAATAGGATTACGAGAGAAAATATTAAGGGAATATTAACACAATCGATCAACTGTAAACAATCCACTCTTTTCCAAAAAACAAACTGTGCAAATGCAGCGGAAGGACAGTAGAGTTGCGGCATCTGATACGTTCGGTGTGTAACACATGTATTGCCGTGTTGTGCCTTGGGTAGTGAAAATACATTCAAGGACATAAAACCGTGTTCATGGTTAGTGTGTTGTATAAAACAAAACCTTAGTGTTTAATTGTTGTATTTTAACCCATTAAGTAGATCTAATGTGTCACTTCGAGGGAGGATGTGCTTTTGCACCTCCTATGCCGCATGTTTGAAGTAAATGTTCTATTATAATTACTTGTTTATGATAATGTTTTCTTTCTTCTTTTCAAAGAGGCAAAACCATTCCCTGCAGAGAAACGCAAGCGGAATTTATGCAAGCGGGATTTACCCACTGATGATTGGTATGCTCCACTTTAAAGAATAATATACTAAAATGATAATATTGTAACTGATACGGGCATTTATAATGTGCCTTTTCCTTGTGGTTAAGCGCACGCCAAGTTTTATTGTTCAGGGAAAGTAATAATGATTATGATGATGAAGGTAATGATGACATGTGTCCATGTGTACAGTATGAATATCCTTTTCACTTCATTTTGACAACGTGTCATCAAAGAATATAGATAGAGGAAGAACGAGCAACTAGCATATTTTGCATTATAAACGTTTTTTCCCGGAAGTGCATCATATCATGCGAGCCAGGCCCTCTCGCGGCAGTGTGTGAACTGCCTATGTTCATAATAATAATTACAGGTAATAAGGTAGGGGTATGGTATTTATCTAATACGTCATTTTTTTAAGTATTCTTTTTTGCACACTTCAGGGGACTTAAGTCCCTCATCGGTAAAGTCAAGCCCTCCACCCCCACTGGCTGAGTTCGTCGGGCAGTCGGACCAAAAAAAAAAAATTTTAACAGGTCTACAGTACACCAAGCCAAAACAAGACTTTCGCAGTCGTAGATGGCCATTTCCGGCCATCCAGAGGTTCCTATTCTTGAAATATCTCCCAAACCCTCCCTCTCTGCAGGCATACTGGAACTACAACACATAATTGTCGTCAAAATGTGGTACTGTAGTATGTGATCATAAAGACTTATTGATCCTAACCAGGTTGGAAAATGTTATTATTATTAATAATAATAATAATAATAAAATTACAATTATTAATAATAGGGCCTATTTGTTGTAATAATTCATATCATAAAGACATTGATCCTAACCAGGTTGGAAAAAATTATTAATAATATAAATAATAATAATAATAATAATAATAATAATAATAATAAAATTTCTATTTTTATAATAGGGCCTATAGCAATAACAATAATATTTAATATATTGATGATGATAATGATAATAATTAAACAATAATAATAATAATAATAATAAAAATATAATTGATAATAATTAATTAATCAAGGCCTAGTTTAACTAACAAAAGTAGCCTTGACTAGGCATGTCAAGGAGTTCCTCAAGGGTCAGTTCTTGGCCCTTTGTTATTTTTAATGTATGTACGTGACCTTGAATATGGTATAACATCTTCAATTTTTCAATTCGCTGATGACAATACGATTTCAAGACCTATTTATGGAATAGACGACTGTATTAGGCTTCAGGGTGATTTAATAGGATTGTTGAATGGTCTATTGTTAACAAACTGCCGCTAAATGCATCTAAATGTGCAACTATGAGTTTATCTAGGTGTAAAGAGCCTCTTACATGGGACTATAGTATAAATTTTGAAACAACTGAAAGAGTCCATGAATTTAAACTACTTGGTGTTTATATTAACAATAAGTTATCATGTCATTCTCATTTGAATTATGTTAGTAATAAGGCAAGCAGACTTCTTGGTTTTGTTTCAAGATGTAGTAAGGCAATGTCTTGGATGGCTATGCTCAATCTTTATAAAACTTTAATATTTAACTGTTGCTGCATGTGGGCACCTACTGAAATTTCAAATATTTATAGACTAGAAAGGGTACAAAAAAAGGCAACTAGAATAATTATGTACAGAAAGGAAGGAAATTGGGACACGTCATATTTATATAGATTAAGGATTTTGAATATTTTAAGCATGGAGGATATTTTTAAAGTATATCGACTAACGTTAGGTTTTAAAATAATGCATGGACAATGTCCATTGTCGTTTAATAATCTTGTGAGATCAAGTGAAAGGTGTGAAGGGCAATTAATACATTGGAAAGCCAAGACTAATACATTTTTAAATTCATCTTTTGTTATTTTTCCTAGATTATGGGAACAACTTCCTAATGAAATTAAACAATGTACATCCATTTCGGCCCAGCTCACAAAACACTTGATCTCAAAATTTAATACTAATAATAACTATTAATTATCTCTGTTTTTCATTTTGTTATAGTTAAATCAATTTATTTTGAATTTACTTTTTTGTATATATTTATATTGTATTGTCATTGTATTTGTTTTTGATGATGGAGTAAGAGCAGTTTACTGTTTGGGCTTATGCCTATTACTTACTCCTGGCAAGAATATTGTATGTATACTTTTTACTTTGCCGAATAAATATTATTATTATTATGTCTAAGCAATAGTAGACCTCTATCTAGTACTGTACTTTAGATCTAGTTTACACCTAAGAAATACAGTGTAATGTTCCTTTTTTACATGAAAGTTGGGAGCCTAGCTTAGCCTATCCAATTCTTACATAGGTCTAAGCTATGTACAAGAATAGATAGACCTAGAATAATTAATAAATACCTAAAAACGTGTAACTCCATACTAGCCTATACCTACTCTACACTGGACAAGCTTTTATACACACACAGCCAATACTTAGCGCTCTACTCCACTGGCCTCCCATCATGCAATTCGGTTGATTACACGATTTTGGGCTCGCTGGTCGTTCTTCCTCTATCTATATTCTTTGGTCTTGTTTACAATTAGAAGAAGTGGTATTCGTAACACCAGAAGAAATAGTATAGTATTTAGAAAATAAATAAGAGTGAATATACCTCATACAAGAAAGTATCGTGTTGGGATTCAATATTTCGACATTAATTATGTCATCATCAGGAATGAAAAAATTATCCATATTAGCAAGCTTATATGCACTAGTACCAAAAGTGTTTAACCAATCAAAACATTACCTCTAGTAGGTGACATAGCAGTGATTTAAACAAAAGATCAAAGCACTCTTACTCCTGTCTCTTATACACATCTACAGTGCAAATTATTTCTGTGACAGTCTTTTGAAGTGTGTAAAGCTGCATTTTATCCCATACATAGTCAAAATATTAGGGGGGGGGGGGAGGATGATACAATGGACCATCCCACCTTGTCAAATATTGGGGGGTATATCCCCCATCCCCCGGGATCTACGCCTATGGCTAGACATCTTCGGCTCCGTTTTTGCCAATCATGAACGAAATATTTAATATCTTATGTTTTTTTCAAAGTTTACTTGGAAATTTTCTAACGGGGGAGAGGTCCAATAGGTAGTCCAGTGGCGGATCCAGGATTTCAAAATACAGGAGGCCTAGGGG